TATGCCTTCGGCTGCCATTGTGCTCTTGCTGGGCGTCCCGTGCGTCTGTGTAAAAAACGTTAAAAAAACGATTTTTTACCATAATGCATTTCTTGCTTTAGGCCCCTTTCAGACGGGGCGGACCCGCTTGCTTAGCGGGGGGGATCTCTGCACTGATCCCCGCTGAGCAAGAGGATGACAGGTCGGTGTCTGCTCTGCTGATGCAGAGCAGACAGAGAACACAGCCCGCTGTTTTCTATGGGGCGCCTGTCTGTTTCCACCCGACTGTCATCCGATCCTCCATACGCATGGAGAACAGATCTCCATCTGTCTGTTTTTAGCATACAGGATCTGATCAGATGCCGGCGGGTGTCAGCGGACACATGTCTGACGATACCAGCTGCTCCATAGAGAGCTATGGATGGTCCAATCGGGCCCGCCTGAAAGACTGACCCAATCGGACCGTCAGTGTAAAAGTGGCCTTAAGGTAAAAAAAATGTTTTCTATCCCTCTCTTCCCATTCACACAGGGCAAGGGGAGGACAGAGGGGAGAAGAGATCCAGCACTGTGCACGGCTGCATCTCTTCTCCCCTCTCTTCCTCTTCACACAGCACTCGAGCAGCAGCGGGAGCCAATGCTGCTGTCAATCAAATGCAGTGAGGAGAAAGTGGTGGTGGTGGGGGGGGCTAAGTCCCGCTGTGTAAGTCTATGGAGCGCAGCTTGGGAGCGTGCAGACACTGTGTGCCTCCATAGCAAATGGTTTGCTATGGGGACACACAAAGAAGAGGAGGATCCAGAAGTGCCTCAGTTGGACCCAGGAACAAGGCCGCTCTATGCAAAAGCATTACAGAGCAGGTGAGTATAACATGTTTGTTATTTAAATTTTTCTTTTTTTACTTTATTAACACTTTAAGGAGGGGTGGGCTCCCTCCTGACAAACCTGCCCTTATCAACCCACTGCTATATGTGCTCCAAAATTGGACACTCTAAAAAACTATAGAGTTAGGACCGCAGTACACAGAGGAGCCTTGACGTTGGCACTGCGGCTTACGCATACATTTGCAAATGTGTGCAAACAAAACCCTCTGTTTTTAATGTGAATTGTTAGACGGGGTCAATTTTTTTTTTTTTTTTTTTTTTGCAGGCTGGCTGATAAGTGTGCTGGGAAATCCTTTGTGATGTACATTGCCCTTCCATGTGCACCTTGCTGCACTGGCTAGTTTAGGCTGGGGGGGGGGTTGTCCTGTATTTGTACAGTTGATTGAATCTTTGCAAGGATGCACTGGATGCCTTCAGCTGCCATTGTGCTGTTGCTGGGCGTCCCGTAAGTCTCCGTAACTTTAAAGTGATATTAAAGCTAAAAACGTTTTTTCACCTTAATGCATTCCTTGCGTTAGGCCCTTTTCAGATGGGTCGGACCCGTCAGCAGGTCCACTTGCACAGCGGGGGGATCTCTCCCCTGATCCCCACTGAGCAGGCGGATGACAGGTCTGTGTACGCTCCGCTGATGCAGAGCGGACATAGACACAGCTCGCTGTTTTCTATGGGGCAGTTGAATGGAAACAGACCGCCTGTCCGTTTCCACCTGGCTGTCATCCGATCTGCTGGGGAAGGGTAACGGATCTCCATCTGTCTGTTTTTTTTTTCAGATCGGATGCTGGTGGATTTCAGCGGACACATGTCTGTTGACACCCGCCGCTCCATAGAGAGCTATGGATGGTCTGATTGGGTCTGCCTGAAAAACTGACAGATGGACCTGATTGGACCGTCAGTGTGAAAAGGGTCTTAAAGTGATTCTAAAGGCTCAAGGTTTTTTACCTTCATGCATTCTATGAATGAAGGTAAAAAATCTGTACAGCATCCCCCCCTAATACTCACCTAAGCCCCCTCTTGATCCAGCGACGTTCACTGGAGTCTCAGCTATCCCAGGACTCCCTCTTTTCATTGACTGAGACAGAAGCGGGAGCCATTGGCTCCCACTGCTGTGAGTCACAGCCAGTGAGCCAATGAAATGAGAGAGGGGGCCGAGCCGAGGTTCTGTGTGTGAATGGACACACAGAGCAGTGGGTACCCCCAGAGCAAGCTGCTTGCTGTGGGGGCACCCGACAGGAAGGAGGGGCAGGAGAACCTGCGTGGGACCCAAAAAGAGGAGGATCCGGGCTGCTGTGTGCAAAATCACTGTATAACATGTTTGTTTTCTATTCCTCTGTCCTTCCCTTGCCTTGTACCAGTAGTAGGTGAGAAAAATGCAGAAAAACACCTCCATACACCATACCAATATCCTGATGACCGCCATACGCAATACACCAACAATCACTGCCCACCGCCATACAAGCATCCTGATCACCCCATACCCATCATACAAGCATCCTGATCACCCCAAATGCCCATACCAGCATCCTCATCACCGCCATACCCCATACCAGCATCCTGATCACCGCCATACCCCATACCAGCATCCTGATCACCGCCATACCCCATACCAGCATCCTGATCACCGCCATACCCATCCTGATACCACCATAGCATACCTCCTGATCACCGCCATACCCCATACCAACATCCTGATCACCACCATAGCCCATACCAGCATCCTGATCACCCCCGTACCCCATACCAACATCCTGATCACCACCATACCCCATACCAGCGTCCTGATCACCCCAAATGCCATAGCAGCATCCTGTTCACCGCCATGCCCCATACCAGCGTCCTGATCACCGCCCTGCCCCACACCAGCGTCCTGATCACCGCCCATGCCCACACCAGCGTCCTGATCACCGCCATGCCCCACACCAGCGTCCTGATCACCGCCATGCCCCCCGGCGTAGCCAGCGTCCTGATCACCGCCATGCCCCACACACCAGCGTCCTGATCACCGCCATGCCCCACACCAGCGTCCTGATCACCGCCATGCCCCGTACCAGCGTCCTGATCACCGCCATGCCCCGTACCAGCGTCCTGATCACCCAAATGCTGTAGCAGTATCCTGATCACCGCCATACCCCATACCAGCATCCTGATCACCCAAATGCCGTAGCAGTATCCTGATCACCGCCATGCCCCATATTACCAGCGTCCTGATCACCGCCATGCCCCATACCAGCATCCTGATCACCCAAATGCTGTAGCAGTATCCTGATCACTGCCATGCCGCATACCAGCGTCCTGATCTCCGCCGTGCCCCATGCCAGCGCCCTGATCTCCGCCGTGCCCCATGCCAGCGCCCTGATCTCCGCCGTGCCCCATGCCAGCGCCCTGATCTCCCGCCGTGCCCCATGCCAGCGCCCTGATCTCCGCCGTGCCCCATGCCAGCGCCCTGATCTCCGCCGTGCCCCATGCCAGCGTCCTGATCTTCGCCATGCCCATACCAGCGCCCTGATCACCCATGTCTCATACCAGCATGCTGATTACCCCATATGCCATACCAGCGTTGTGATCACGCACCACGCGCCATACCAGCGTCCTGATCACCGCCACGCCCCATACCAGCGTCCTGATCACCGCCACGCCCCATACCAGCGTCCTGATCACCGGATGCAAATCCGACACATTTCAGAGTAAACTAACTCCTTCCTCAGGGCAAAGAAAACTCTGCAGAGTTTTCATTTCCCTGAGGAAGGAGTTTACTCTGAAACGTGTTGGATTTGCATAATAAACTCCATAATCTGTCAACATGATATGATGGTGATGTCTGGTGAAGATTTTTTCAACATGCTATTCTAAATGTCTGACCTATTTAATGTGATCTAAAATAAAGATCAATATGAACTATTTAATTTATGTATTGGTGCCTTTAAAGTCCCAGTGGGAAGTTTTTTCTTTGTTTTGTGCAATATTTAGGGATGTATGCCTATATCAGGCATTACCTCATTATTTCTTATATATACTGCATACCAGCGTCCTGATCACCGCCATACCCCCATACCAGCACCCTGATCACCGCCACCATACCAGCATCCCGATCACCGCCATGCCCCATACCACACCTGATCACCACCATACCCCATACCAGCGTCCTGATCACCGCCATATCCCATACCAGCATCCCACGATCACCATACCATGCACCCATACCAGCGTCCCCGATCACCACCATATCCCATACCCAGCATCCTGATCACCACCCATGGCCTCATACCAGCCATACCCCGATACCGCCACTCACCGCCATACCCATACCAGCGTCCTGATCACCGCCAAACCCAATACAGCGTCCGCCGCCATACTACATACCAGCGTCCCGATCACCGCCATAACCCATCCATACCAGCGTCCCATCATCACCGCCATACCCCATACCAGCCATGATCATCCTGATCAATCCCTGATACCCCATACCAGCGTCCTGATCACCACACCCCATACAGCATCCTGATCACCCCATACCAACCAGTCCTGATCACCGCCATACTCCCATACCAGCATCCTGATCACCGCCATACTCCCATCACCAGCCTTGCCACAGCCGAATCCTGATCACCAGCATCCTGATCATGCCCCAGACCAGCACCCCCATACCAGATCATCCCCCATACCCCATACCAGCGTCCTGATCACCACCATAGCCCATACCAGCATCCTGATCACCACCATACCATACTATACCAGCATCCTGATCACCACCATACTCTATACCAGCATCCTGATCACTGCCATACTCTATACCAGTGTTCTGATCCACCATGCCAGCATCTCTGATCACCGCCATACCCCTTACAGCATCCCGATCACTGCCATACCCCATACCACTGCATCTGATCACCACCATACCAGCATCACCACCATGATCACCACCATACTCCATACCAGCATCCTGATCACCACCATGCCCCATACTCCCCATACCCTGAGTGTTCTGATCACCACCATACCAGCATCCTGATCACCGCCATACACCCATACCAGCATCCCTGATCACCACCATACCCCATACCAGCATCCTGATCACCACCATACCATACCCATACCAGCCATCCCGATCACCGCCCTGATCACCCGCCATACCATACCAGCATGATCACCACCATACCCATACAGCATCCACCACCATGCCTCATACCAGCGTCCAGATCACCACCACAACCCCATACCAGCATCTGATCACCGCCATACCCCATACCAGCATCCTGATCACCACCATACCCCATACCAACGTCCTGATCACCACCATACCCCATACAACATCCTGATCACCACCATACCCCATACCAGCATCCTGATCACCGCCATACCCCATACCAGCGTCCCTCATCACCACCATCACCCCATACCAGCATCCTGATCACCGCCATACCCCATACCAGCATCCTGATCACCACCATGATCACCACCATACCCCATAGCATCCTGATCACCACCATACCCATACCACCATCACCACCACTACCCATACCAGCATCCTGATCACTGCCATGCCTCATACCAGCGTCCAGATCACCACCATACTCTATACCAGCGTTGTGATCACCAGCATGCTCCATACCAGTGTTCTGATCACTGTCATACCAGCGTCCAGCATTTTAGGGTCTCAACTGTTCAATTATCAGATATATATCCCATAGTTTGTATACTCTATAGCTTTCACGCAGACTAAATAATATACACTGATTTGGTTATTTTTACCACAGAAATGTAGCAGAATATATTTTGGCCTAAATTTATGAAGAAAAAAAAATATTTTATTTGCTAAATTTTAAAACAAAACCTAAGCAAAAAAAGTTTTTTTTTAAATATTTGGTCTTTTTTCATTTTATATAGCAAAAAATAAAAACCCAGTGCTGATCAAATAACACCAAACGAAAGCTCTATCTTTCTAACAAAAAAAAAAAAAAAAAAAATATATTTCATATGGGTACAGTATTGCATGAGTAATTGTCACTCAAAGTGTGATAGCGCTGAAAGCTGAAAATTGGCCTGGGCAGGAAGGGGGGGAAAGTGTCCGGACTGGAAGGGGGGGGGAAGCGTCCGGACTGGAAGGGGGGTTAAAGTGTCCGGACTGGAAGAAGGGTGAAAGCGTCCGAACTGGAAGGGGGTGAAAGCGTCCGGACTGGAAGGGGGGGGAAAGCGTCCGGACTGGAAGGGGGGGGAAGCGTCCGAACTGGAAGGGGGGGTGAAAGCGTCCGACTGGAAGGGGGGAAAGTGTCCGAACTGGAAAGGGGGTGAAAGCGTCCGACTGGAAGGGGGTGAAAGCGTCCGGAACTGGAAGGGGGGGAAAGGTGTCCGGACTGGAAGGGGGGGGAAAAATGCGTCCGAACTGGAAGGGGGTGGGGGAAGCATCTGGACTGGAAGGGGGGGAAAGCGTCCGGACTGGAAGGGGGGGAAAGCGTCCGGACTGGAAGGGGGGGAAAGCGTCCGGACTGGGAAGGGGGGTGAAAGCGTCCGGGACTGGAAGGGGGGAAAGCGTCCGGACTGGAAGGGGGGGAAAGCGTCCGACTGGAAGGGGGGTGAAAGCGTCCGGACTGGAAGGGGGGTGAAAGCGTCCGGACTGGAAGGGGGGGAAAGCGTCCGAACTGGAAGGGGAAGGAAAGCGTCCCGAACTGGAAGGGGAGTGAAAGCGTCCGGACTGGAAGGGGGGGAAAGCGTCCGAACTGGAAGGGGGGGGGAAAGCGTCCGGACTGGAAGGGGGTGAAAAGCGTCCGGACTGGAAGGGGGGAAAAGCGTTTGGAAGTCGAACACTGGAAGGGGGTGTGAAAGCGTTCGAAACTGGAAGGGGGTGAAAGACGTCCGAACTGGAAAGGGGGGGGAAAGCGTCCGGACTGGAAGGGGGGTAAAGCGTCCGAACTGGAAAGCGGGGGGAAAGCGTCCGAACTGGAAGGGGGGGAAAGCGTCCGGACTGGAAGGGGGAAAGCGTTCGAACTGGAAAACGGGGTGAAAGCGTTTCGAACTGGAAGGGGGTGAAAGCGTCCGAACTGGAAAGGGGGGGGAAAGCGTCCGAACTGGAAGGGGGGGAAAGCGTCCGGACTGAAGGGGGGGAAAGCGTCCGGACTGGAAGGGGGGAGTGAAAGTGTCCGGACATGGAAGGGGGGGAAAGCGTCCGGACTGGAAGGGGGTGAAAGCGTCCGGACTGGAAAGTGATTAAATATAGGTGGTTGAGATGCAGTCCCCCCAACCCTTAGGCTGCAAGATCGTTGACAAGCCATAGCTATGGTGCTCTGCTTCCTCGTTGCAACAAAAATGATCCACCCCTTTCACACATTCATCGGGCAGTACTGCCACAAAGGCAACTCGTTCAAGTGAATGAGGCCATGCCACAACAGCGAGGGAAATGCCTGGGATTACAGTTGCAGTGTGGTATTCCCATTCCAAAAAAAAAAAAAACAAGCATTCGGTAGGCGGCAGTATTGCCTTTTTTCAACACCTGTTGACGTCTGTGCTGCTCGGATTAACCCCTTGACGCCAACGTAACACAAATATGCGGCCTCACAGAACAGAGCTTTTTTCCTTGGGTCCGCATATTTATTGCATACCTGTTTTTTGTGCTGGGAGCGCACCGCACACAGCGCGCTGTCAGCACAGAGACCGCGGTGTCACTGAGAGCTCCGGGTCCTGTTCTAAACGATCGGACCTGGGGACTCCCGATTCGGGTCACATGATCTCTGTGATAGCCTCTGATTGGCTATCACAGTGATCAGTCACTGTACAGCCTGGCCCCCTTGTTTTTTTTTTTTTTCTCTCTCTATGAATGGAGAAGAGAGATACATTGTATCTCTCTAACTCCTGGCATAGAGAGCAAAAAAAGTTTGTAAAAAAAAAAAAAGATAAATAAATATAAAAAAATACCTAGATCAAGGTTTGATCTAGTTCAGTGCCAGGGTTTAGTGTTGGGTCAGGGTCAAAGGTCAAGGTAAAAAAAGGTCAGGGTCAAAGATCCGGATTTAAAAAAAAAATATTGGTATCAGTGTCAATATCGGTGTGTTTTGGTAAAAAAAAAAAAAAAGACAAAAAACAAAAATGCGCACTATTGTTTCTGAGCTGTACTACGGGTGCAGACAACAAGTAACATGCACATATATGGTATCGTTGTGTGATTGTCAAGAGCTGGAGAATTTATTTTGGGTTCTTTGGTAGGCTTATGGTAGTAACAAGAAACACACAGCTAAATAAAAAAAAAAATCTTTTTTAAAATCAATTTTTTACTATTTTGGGCCAGTTTTCCTTTGATATTAAAAAAAAAAATCAGGAGATATCCATTACCACCAAATGAAAAGCCCAATTTGTCCTGGAAAATAATGTGGTATAATTCATCCGGATGTACAAAGTAGTTGTGATGATACGGACGGTTTTACTAACTCATGTCATCATTGCAAAAAAAAAAAAATTTAATATATGTGCTTAGGCATTTAGATTTGTTTTACCCTTAGAGCGTGAAGAGGTTAAACATAGATTGTTCTCATCCGACATCAGTACCTGACCTAGCAAATGTTCTGATTAAATGGGCAAAAAATATTCACAGATGCTCCTAACAGGGGTTTAAAAGTTTTAGATGCCATACTACTAGCCGGTCACAAAAAGCTTACTCTCCACAGTTTGCCCCCACCCAACCATTGCCCAGGGTATCTTGTCAGCACTGTCATAGGTTGTTAGACTATCGGACGGCCACCCATTCCTTAACAACTCATGAGTCATCAACTGTCAGCGGGGTTCCCCACTGACAGCTGAATGTAAGAAGAACAAAAATATTGCTGCAATTAAAAAATAATAAAAAAATTAGGTGGGCCCCCCCTCCATCTCTACCAACCCTTTGGGTCTGGTTTTGGATTTTTGACGTAACCCCCGACTCCAAAATTAAAAAAAAAAAATCATTTTGTTCCCCCAAAAAATCCATACAAGACCCTTATCTGAGCATGCAGCCCAGCAGGTCAGGAAAAAGGGGGGGGGGGGGGGAACGAGCGAGCGCCTCCATTTCCACAACTGTGGGTCTGCGGTTGTGGGGGGTCTGCACGGGGGGGGGCCGTTTTTCTGAATCTGGTAAACCCCTTTTAGCAAGGGGCCCCCCAGATCCCTGCCCCCACCCATTGATATCACATACAGTCAGGTC